GGGGTGGGGGTGGACGTGGGATGGACGGGGGCTGGGGATGGGCATGGGATGGACACGGGGTGGGGGTGGACGTGGGATGGACAGGGGGTGGGGATGGACGTGGGGATGGGCATGGGATGGACACGGGGTGGGGATGGGCATGGAATGAGGATGGGCATGAGATGGACATGGGATGGGGATGGACACGGGATGAGAATGGACGTGGGATGGACACAGGATGGGGATGGACATGGGATAGGGATGGTTGTGGGGATGGGCATGGGATGGACATTGGATGGGGATGGACACGGGTTTGGGATGGGGATGGGCATCGGATGGACACGGGGTGGGGGTGGACATGGGATGGACACGGGATGGGGATGGGCATGGGATGGACATGGGATGGGGATGGACACAGGATAGGGATGGACACGGGTTTGGGATGGACACAGAATGGGGATGGACATGGGATAGGGATGGACACGGGATGGGGATGGACACGGGATGGGGATGGACATGGGCATGGGATGGACACAGGATAGGGATGGACACGGGTTTGGGATGGACATGGGATGGGGATGGACACAGGATAGGGATGGACACGGGATGGGGATGGACACGGGATGGGGATGGACATGGGCATGGGATGGACACAGGATGCGGATGGACACGAGATTGGGGATGGGCGTGGGATGGACACAGGATGGGAATGGACGTGGGGTGATTATGAGATGGGGATAGACTTGGGATGGAGATGGGATGGATGTGGGATGGGGATGGACACAGGATAGGGAAGGACACGGGACGGGGAAGGAGACAGGATAGCGATGGTTGTGGGATGGACACGGGATGGGGATGGACATAGGATGGGGATGGACATGGGATGGGGATGGGATGGACATGGGATGGGGATGGACACGGGATGGCACTGGGATGGGCACTGGGGCTGTCCTGGGATGAACATGGGCATGGAGATGGACATTGGATGGAGATGGGATGGGGATGGGCATGGGATGGACACAGGATGAGGATGAACATGGGATGGGGGTGGACATGAGATGGGGATGGGATGGACATGGGATGGGGATGGACATGGGATGGACACCTCCAGGAGAGGTTCAGCTTGGACATCAGCAGGAATTTCCTCCTGGAAAGAGCTGTCAGGCTTTGGAACTGCCCGGGAAGGTGGCAAAGCAGAAAAATCCCCATTTATTCCCCAAATCCTCCCCCAGCCTGGCACTCAGGACCTGGAGAAGCTCTGGATTCTGGTGTAAATTCCCCAAATTTGGTGTCTCCACCTTTTCTTTCCTGCTCCTGGCAGGCTGGAGATGCCCAAGGACGAGCTGCCCAACCACAACTGCATCAAGCACCTGCGCTCGGTGGTGCAGCAGCAGCAGACGAGGATCGCCGAGCTGGAGAAGACCTCGGCCGAGCACAAGCACCAGCTGGCCGAGCAGGTGGGCCAGCAGCACCAGGGTGGGGCTACAGGGGCAGGTTTGGGGTGTTGGGCACTGAAACCCCCCAAAAAATAGAGGGGAAAAGTGACTGAGCTGAGTGTGACTCCGTGGAGTTGGGTTGGGACATGCCAAAATGCCAAAATCACAGAAAAATCCCAAAAAAACAAGAGAAAATGTGTGGAGGAGAAGGTGTGGGCTGAGTGTGACTCTGTGGGGTTGGGTTGGGCCATGCCAGGGACTCCAGAAATCCTAAAATCACAAAAAATCCCAAAGAAATCTCAAAAAAATCAGGAGAAAATGTGCTGAGGAGAATATCTGGGCTGAGTGTGGCTCTGCGGGGATGGGTTGGGCCATGCCAGGGACTCCAGAAATCCAAAAATCCCAAAGAAATCCCAAAAAACCAGGAGAAAATGTGCTGAGGAGAATATCTGGGCTGAGTGTGGCTCTGTGGGATTGGGCTGGGCCACGCTGGGGACTCCAGAAATCCTAAAATCACAAAAAAATCCCAAAGAAATCCCAAAGAAATCCCAAAAAAACAGGAGAAAATGTGTGGAGGGGAAGGTATGGGCTGAGTGTGGCTCTGTGGGATTGGGCTGGGCCATGCCAGGGACTCCAGAAATCCCAAAATTCCCAAGAAATCCCAAAAAACCAGGAAAAAATGTGCTGAGGGGAATGTCTGGGCTAAGTGTGGCTCTGCAGGGTTTGGTTGGGCAACACCGGGGACTCCAGAAATCCTAAAATCACAAAAAAATCCCAAAGAAATCCCCCAAAAAACAGGAAAAAAACGTGCTGAAGGGAGCAATGGTTTGAGAGTAGCTCTGCAGAAATTTTTAATATTGTTAAAAGATTTGTTGTATTTAAAGGCTGTCAGTTAAATCTGGTAGTAGTTATTATTTATTGTTCTGATTTTGCCTGATTTAAGGTCTTAATTCAAACTTTGTATTTATAATTTTTATAAGAGGGAAAAAACAAGGGACAGGTTTGAGTTCTTAGGCAAACAATGAGCAAAAACAAGGGGCAGGTTTTGGCGCTTGGACACCAAAACCCCCCCCAAAAAAAGGGGGGAAAATGTTTTTTTTTCCATTTTTAATGGCATTTTTCCCTGCCCTGGCAGAAGAGGGACATCCAGCTGCTGAAGGCGTACATGAGGGCGATCCGCAGTGTCAGCCCCAACCTGCTGAACCTGGAGGAGACCATCGAGTACAACGAGATCCTGGAGTGAGTGCGGGCAGCTGCGGGCGGAGGGAAAGGCTCCGTTTTTGAGGGAAATTCGACATTTTCTGAGGGAAATCCGTCATTTTCTGAGGGAAATTCCTCATTTTCTGAGGGAAATTCCTCATTTTCTGAGGGAAATCCGTCATTTTCTGAGGGAAATTCGTCATTTTCTGAGGGAAATCCGTCATTTTCTGAGGGAAATTCGTCATTTTCTGAGGGAAATCCGTCATTTTCTGAGGAAAATACATCATTTTTAGAGGAAAATGCATATTTTTTTGAGGGAAATTCATCATTTTTTGAGGGAAATTCGTCATTTTCTGAGGGAAATCCGTCATTTTCTGAGGAAAATACATCATTTTTAGAGGAAAATGCATAATTTTTTGAGGGAAATTCATCATTTTTTGAGGGAAATTCGTCATTTTTTGAGGGAAATTTGTCATTTTCTGAGGGAAATTCATCATTTTTTGAGGGAAATGTGTAGTTTTTTAAGGAAATTAGTTGATTTTTGAGGGAAATTTGTCAGTTTTGAGGGAGAATTTGTAGTTTTTGAGGGATTTTTGTTGTTTTCTGTGGGAAATTGATCATTTTCTGATGAAAAATTGTCATTTTTTGAGGGAAATGTAAAGGTTTTTGGGCGGAATTTGTAGTTTTTTCAGATAAATTTGTAGTTTTTTAAGGGAAATTTGTATGTTTTGTGGCAAAATGTTCGTTTTGAGGGAAATTTGTGGTTTTGTGGGAAAACCTGTAGGTTTTGAGGGAAAATCGTAGCTTTTTGAGGCAAATCTGTCATTTTTTGAGGGAAATTAATGTAGCTTTTCAGGGAAGTTTGTAATTTTTTGAGGGAATTTTTTTCCTTTTTTGAGGGACATTTATGTGGTTTTGGGGGAATGTGTAATTATTTGACAGAAATGTATAGATTTTTGGGGATTTTTTTTTGGGTTTTTGGGGGGAATTTGTCTTTTTTTTAGGGGAAATTTCTAGTTTTTGGCAGGAATTTCCAATTTTTTGTAGCGAATTTGCAGTTCCTTTCTGGTGGGGATTGGTCTCAGGTTGAACTCAGTGGTCATGGAGGTCTTTTCCAACCTCAGCAATTCCACAGTCCCACCCCAAAAAACCATCCCTGACCCCTCTGAGTGTCTCCATCTGGGTGAACCCCAGAATCCCACCCCAAACCCCCACAACCCCACCCCAAACCCCCATCCCTGACCCCTCTGAGTGTCTCCATCTGGGTGAACCCCCACGATTTCACCCCAAACCTCCATTCCTGACCCCATTATGCCCTCCCAGCTGGGTGAACCCCCACAA